GACCTGATGCTGCAAATGAAAAGAGTGGGTCAAACCGTCTAAAGACAGGAGAGCTCAGTTTGCAGAATCAGATTCAAAGAGGCCTGATTTGCTGCCAAAGGTGGATCAACAAAGTTAAATTAGCTTGTTGTTTTTCTTTTTATAAAATTGGCACACAAAAAAAATTCAAATGCACATAATGGGGTTTTATGAACGATTTAGAGGGAAAAGATAAATTAAAAACCATTTGGAATAAAGCTGATGGAGCAAAAAGTGCAGCACTGAAAACTTTCTGTATGTACTGCTTTAAATAACTTTATGTCAGCATCTTTATAAAGATGTAAAACGGGTTAAAGCTCTGATCCAGGTTATCTACATGGAGCAGATCTCTCTCTAGTCGCTGAGATGCAGAAAATGCTGAGATGCAATCAACAGTAATGACGTTTAACCCAACCTGGCAGGGTTTCCTCACAGTTTGACATGACCTTTTAACCTATTTCACCCCCAAAGGCGTCCGCCAGCCAAGAGGGCCAATTACATTAAACATGGCTGCCTGGCTCCTTTTCGTTGCCCTTGGCAACAGCTGGCAGAGGAGTGGGAGCTGCTGATGAGGGAAGAAGGAGCAGAGGGGAAAGGAGATGAGCAAAGTGCAGCAAAAACCGATGTCGTGACAGAAGAAGTGGCATCACAGCAAAATACAGCTCCAACTTATCGTCCGAGCTGCTTCTACATTCTGAGGTAATTCTGTTTGTTCTAACATAAACTTCCACGCATCTCTTTTTGGGGATTCATATAACACACGGACACAAAGTAACGGAGAACTGTGAAATTAGGAAGGAAACATAAACATTTAATTCAGCTTATTGACTCGTCAGCAGTCCGTCACACTAAGCATGCTTGTAGTGACAGTGGAGAGGAAAATCTCAATTTTAACAGGAAGAAACCTCCAGCAGAACCAGGCTCAGTGTGAGCGGCCATCTGCTGAGGCCGACTGGGGTTCAAGGAGACAGAAGCAGAGACACAAAAAGTAACTGTAAAAGGCGGCCCTGTCCAGGAAACACACAGCCAGGCAGACGAGCACCGAGCCAGCTCCCATGTAAGAGGATGAAGAGAGCACATCCAGCCAGTCACAGTCAGAGAAACAGGACTACACTGAAAAACAGGCCGATCTCCAACATCTATAAGCAAATGTGTTGATGGCAGCAGCACAGCTGATATTTCTGTCCAGGATGGAGTCACAGCCAAACAGGAACAGACCAGATGAAGCTACTATGAGACAAAGCAGAGAGAGCAGAACGTTAGAGATTAAACTAACAGATTCTGCAGAGTGGAAGAATAGAGATAGAATGATGAAATAGAGGCGTCGCAGCACAGTGGGCCCAGTCGGGACTTATTTAGTAGCTGCATTAATGGCCATCTGGCTTCCTGGTAGTTGAGTGGTACTGCCTGTAGATGGCGCCACGTCCGTTTATGTAGCCCATCGTCTCCGATGCTGAGGTTCTATTTAGGCTCAAAAAGGACAATAAAACGATATCAGGTCAGAATCTACAGTATATAACAGTATTTGTTCATAATCAGCTGGATCTTTTTTCATATATCCTGACTTTATCTTTAAAGCCCAGACATAAATCAGATTAAGTCTTTAATTCTTCATCATTGTTAGCAGACAACCAGAAAATATTTTATTTGAAACATGAGAAATCAGAAATAGTTCAAAGGGTTTAAAAACATAAATATAAAGGTTCTGTGTTTTTGGAGCCTCCAACTTGAGGGATTTTATATTTTAGTTCTAAAACATCAGCTCAGGTTTTGACAGGCTTGATGCATGCTGCTTCCCCCGTCTGCCTGGCTTTCATCATCATATTGGAGATGAGAAAACGCATCCAGCCTTAAATTGCTGCCATAGCTCACAGGGATTAATAGATGGAAAGCGGATCATTAATCCTCATTAAAGCAGCTCATAAACTGTGAGTAATGTCAGCGACTTTGTGAGGATAAATCAGGCAGATTTTTACCATCGGCTGCATATTTTTTGTTTTCTGCCTCATAAATTATAAAATGTGGATCCATCTCAGGGCACCTGATGATGAGCCCAGTGAACCTGACCCAGAATATTACCCACCTGTTGGTGTTCTAAATAGATTCTGCTTATTTTGGGGTTTTCCAGGAACAGGAGGTCCCTGAGGCTTCTCTCTGGCTGGTGCAGACCCACGACGTCGAAGGGACAGAGGCCGTGCCGCGGGGCTGCGGAGGCGCCGCCTCTCACCCCCGCAGCCGTGACGTCGTTCTGCTCCGCCCACAGAATGAGTCTGGTGTGGGTGCGCCTGACGCTGCTGTCCAAAGGGAAACCAGAACCCCACGCCATGGTCTGCGCTCCGACTGCGGAGGACCTGAAGCTGTTTGGAAAAAAACTATTGAGCAGCGGCCCCCAGGAGCCCCCTCATAAAGACCACCTTAAATGCAGGATTAAGAGCAAGAAGAAGAGCTCAAAGGAAGCCGCTACATCGCTTCCCCCCTCTGATGAGCGTGAAGTATCAGACATAACCCCTGCGTCAGACCCAAACCCATCCAAAGACCCGCACTCTTCCTCTGGTCTGGTCTTGGGGGTTTGGCCCGACCCGCTGCCCAGCGTCACGTCTCACTGCTCCCGGGTGACGCTGGGCTGGGTCACTCAGGGGGACTTCTCTCTGTCTGTGGGCTGTGGGGAGGCTCTGGGGTTCGTCAGCATTTCAGGGCTACTCGATACGCTCCTGAAGCAGCCGGTGGAGCACCGAGGGAAGCTGCTGCTGCGTAACCCCTCCTCCCTGCATTACCGCTGGGTTAAACTCAACATCGACGTCTGACTTTTAACGGGACCTACACAGAATGGGACAAAAAAAAAAACTGAAAACAACCCGTCATAATCCCTGTGCCTCTGGCTGAAGATAAAAAGCACCCCATCGAAGGCTCCAATCTTTAAGTTATAAACTAAGCACCGTTAATTTCCACTAATTAGAAATGCTTGCTTGTGAAGATTTATTTTTATGATTTTCTTAGCATGTTTCAGTAACTTTCATCTCATTTAGGAAGGAATGTTATTTTTTTGCTCTTATTGCTGCAGTATTGAGTTTTATTTTTTTACTTGAAGATACACAAATGCAGTGAAGAGCTTTTTGTTAGAATAACAAGTGAATAAAGGAAACAATCTCATAAAGTTACTAAACCATTAAACATTTAACATGGAAAGCATCAGGACTTCTAAATGTTATGCAAAAAGAAAAATTGTGTGAAGATGTGCAGCAGAAGCTGCTCTGGTTGTATGAAAGGGAAATGTACCAAATCTTCAAAACTTCATCCTTTTTTTGGTTTAATCTGAGAAATGTAACAGAGTTGAAGCCCCTCCTGAGCTCCATCATGAAGCTACCAGGATCTGATAACTCCGTGCTCCATCTGACACGACTCCAACCTACCGTACTATTCCTTTTGGTGCAGAATCTTTTCTTGTTTTCATTGTAACCAGGAGGAAATATTTATGTATTTTGGACCCGTCAAAATGTATTAAAACAATCATATTTTATGCAGGGATTTTATTCTGCACCACTCTACATGTTCTCTGGATGTATTTTTGATGAGATACTTGTAGCAATGACGTTTCACTATGACGGGTCTGCAGCCTCAGTAAAGCTAAATAAAACATCCTTTGAACTGTAAATGTGAGTTTTTGGTTAGACAGTTTTGATATATATACTTAATAAAATGTCTTTATTTTTAACGATCCACCATCTTATTTTTTAGGTTTAAAAAACATTAGGATTGCACAGATTGATTGGTCGTATCTATTATGTTGATTTCTAGACCTCTTATCTGTAGATACATAGTGAAAGTGATCTTACCCAATAATGTTATCTACCTCTGCAAAAGCTTCTATCTCATGCAGTTAAAACATGTATTGTTTCATATTTTCCATCTTTTTTCAAAACAAAATCTTGATAAAAACTGAAGGTCAAAATTGGATGTTAGCAATCAATGGATGCTGATTAAAATGAATTACTGGTACCCCTCAAGGTGATTCTCATCCACAAACTCAAAGCAGTTATTCAGTAAAAAAGTCAAAATGCTTAAAATCTTCAATATTTACTAAAACATTAACTGGTTCTGAAATGAAGAGCTGCTGTGGAAGGTCCGAAGCGACTCTGCAACCTACATGTGAGCGCGTCTCTGTGGTGAAAACTGAACATTCCTTACATCATCCGGTAAATATTATTTTTTTATCATTTGTCTCCACCCTGCTCCTTCCTCCCGACGCCACATCAAGTCCCTGATTGGTTGTTGTGACAAAACACAAAAGTTCAGATTTTCCAACTTCAGTGCGTTGTCATAACCATGCCTGGAGCATCACTAAAAACGTGCCTGTCACACCTTTTTACAACACATCCCCCCTGAACGCGCCTCTATATAGTCACTCCAGTCGATGCATTTTCACCACCAGGTCTAGAAAGAAATATTAACCCTGGGACACAGGCAGAGCTGCACAATTATATGGATAGAGGGGCCCTATCAGGGTCTAGACCTTGATTAAAGGGAGAATTTGCAGCAAGATGTAATTAATTTTGCTCAAAAGTTGCTGAACCGAGAAATGACTTTTGTTTAACATTCAGCCTTTTACCTTCTCTCCTGCCGACACTCCTGCAAAGCTCTCCACATGCATCCAACTACAGACACTTCAACTTTGAATCTTCTTATAGTTCCTCTAGCATGAACTGTGGTTTCCCACATATCCCATAATGTGTAGGTGGCAGATAAGAGTTTTTGTTGCTTGGCAACACCACAGTTTGGTAGCAGTTCAGCCAAGCGTGCAGTGTGAGGTTTATCCGAGGTGAAGATGGGCGAGGAAGCGGCACGCTTGTGCTTCAAGCAGCAGTTATGAAAAGAAGTGGGAGACGCACCTCAGTATGTATGGCATACTGGTGAATTTAAACACATGGCAGAGTATTAACAGTACACTAGAGAGGAAGGAAGAAAACTACGCTTTGGTGCTGACTTTTCCTTTTTTAATAATTGGATAAATTTACATCAGATGATTGAGGTTGAACAGTAAAGGGGGGAAGTCAGGATTCCTTTTCCCACCTTTAGGGGGCAGTAGTGCACTTATTTTGATGTATACCATAACCTCAGACTAATAAAACATATTTAGCACCTGTCCACAGAAAACTGTTTAGTTTATTTACCTGACAAAAATCTGTTGAACTGAGAGAAATGCATCACTTGTTTTATCTCAATGCAGCCAAAAGACAATAAGGGAACACATTTTAAGGCAGAAAAACTTCTTTTTAAGGACTAACTCCTTCTCTTTGCTGCTTTTAATAACAGATTTGGTTGAACCCTGGAAAAGCTGCACACAGACTCTCTAATGGAGTACAGCAGCAGTCCCGACAGATGGAGATGGTTCCTATGAATCGTCTGTTTGGTCGGCTCTGTTGCACATAAGTTTGGCTGCCAGCGATCCGTATGTTTGGCTCTTTGCCTCGGGCTGCACTTTGTCTGTGCTCCTCCTCCCTGTGAACATGGACGGCGCAGCTCATTAGATGGGGACCCCGCAGCCAGGGTCACTGCTGCTAAACTCATCCAGGTTCTGTCTGGCCTGTTAGGCAATACAATGATTAAATAAAAAAATAACTTACCAGGAATCCTATCCATGGGGATGAAAGTGCGGTCTTGTTGCTTTATCTTTGGTCTGTTTTGGGCTATCAGGAAAACCCCGACAAAGGAGAGAAGACAGCTGGAGGAGAGTTTCAGGAGGATGAGCACTAGCGTTTGGTGGCGTCGTTTAAGACCCAATGATTAGTGATGTTTGCAGAACTTACCCGAATAAGAACATGAAAATATTCAGTAACGCCAAGCCTTCAAATTCCTGGTAGAATATTATCCCTGCAACAGAAAAAAATAAAAAGGTTGAACCATATTTCCCCATAAGCACTGAAGTTAGGAGGAGACTGCTGCACATAAAAAAATAAATTACAACACAGAGCACCAAGAAAACAGAGCAAATCATTCTCTCTGGATCTGATTAACTTGCCAAAAGGCAGACACAAACGTTTTCATCATGCATTTCTCTGCTCTGGATATTAGAAGGTTAAAAACAAAACATTCATTATCTTCACAGTGGACAAAAAACTAATCTTACGAGCAAAAGTCGCCCACGGATGTTCTTCCACTGCTGATAAAATACAGAAGCAATTTGTTATTCCGCAGAGTCAATCGTGTGTTATTTGTGTGGGCAGACACAGCAATAGTAATAGCAAGAAAAATAATCTGTTTTCTAAAGGAGAGTCACTCCAAACACACGCTGTGACTTTTCCCCCGCTATGGTGACAGACCTGTGCCCATGATGCTGCACAGAAATGAACATCTAGTACTTATCTTTAATGATTTCACTTGCAGAGAGTTGTAGGATATGTCCCACGTGTCAAAAGCATTTGAGGGGTCATAAAATGCAGTTTCCTTTGCATAGATTAATTATGATGGTTCAGTGGGTGAAATGGACGTACGGAGAAGTTCAAACCCCATTAACACCTCCTTTCTCTGCAAATCTCACAATTCTAAACCTCCACCATAAAACAGGCGAATCCAAACGTAGCACCGAATGGACGTCAATTTGGGGATGTTTTCTTATTGACAAAAAAGCAGCAAAAATAGAAGGTTGAAGTCCTTTAACATGGATGAATTTAGAAATGGCTTCGTCTCTTTGTTACGTCTCAGACTGAAGGTAAAAGCCCCAAAAATGTGCAAAACGAGGGAGAAACTCTGACAAGCCTTTGTGAGTTGGTGGCGACTTGAGCTTGCTGAATATCTTCTGAAGTGTTAAGTTAAAGGTTTGATTGGGTTATCTGTTCTGCAGAGTTCACACCGAACATGCTTTGAACAGAAGCAGCTGGTTTACATGCAAAGTTGTAGTGGGAAAAAAGTATTCAACTATTCAGCCTAGTTAAATAAACGGAGATGGATGGATTTCACTCAGTCGGCACATTTATTCATATCTTTTCAAAGAGAGAACAGTCATCATACAGCCTTTATTGCACAGCATTCTGCTCTGTTCTGATCTGGGCACCGTTCATTCCCCTTACTCACAACAATGGAAAGTAGTCAGAGTCAAAACAAATTACAGAAACAGTAACATGTTATGAATAAACCTCAAGAAAGAATCTGATTTGTTATGGGAAGAAGCTATGTCTGGTCTACAAGCACCATCCTGCAGAGAATGGTGTGGCTTTGAGAGAGAAACAGACTGAGTGAAAACTTTTATAGTGACTAAAGTGGATAAATAATATATAATAGAAGAGAGATAAAAATTTTCTGACAACAAAAGTCTATAGTTAAAGCGCATAAAGGCGCATCAAGAGCTCCTGCAGAGTATTTCGAGCAGCAGGAGCAGAGCGTCATGAGCATTTAAGCATTAGAAGACCTAGCAACTGGTTGGCAAACAGTACAGACCTTTTTTCTTAGATTTTTTAGAATGTTTTTTAATTTAAAAAATATTTCATTTCTCTTGCATGTTTTTGCCTATTTTATACTTTCCACATTTTTTATTTTCATTTTATCCAATTAAAATGTTTCCTTTTTTTTATTTACAGATTTTAACTTAAAATTAAATCTCTTCAATGTGTTTTTGCAGAATTTATATGTTATTTTATTTTTGTATGTTTTCAAATGTAGTTTTACAAATTGCATTGTTTTCAAATTGTTTCACAGATCACATTTCTACTTTTGAACCGCACATTGACCAAAAAAAATGTTGCTAGCATCCATGCAGACCAATAGTACAGCTGATGTCAGCCAATCAGGTGACGCCTGCGACCCCTCCTCTTTGGACGGCAAAACAAAACCTTACATACATAAAAAACAACTAGCAACTACGGTACTTTTTCACCATACTACCTCTAAAATACCAATACTGGTGTACCAGCTGACAAGAAAGAAAGGACGGCATCTCATTTTATCGCTTTCCTAAATACCCGGAAAGGCGAGCGAGACAGTGGCTGTCATGAGAGAGACCTGGAACACAACTACAACTAGCAGAATTTACAGTGATCACTTCTTAAAAGGTTAGTTGTTATGCTCAAAATAATGTATTAGAAATGCTGTGTTTATTTAGACGGTGGAACGATTTTCGGCCCTAGCATTTTTCCATCTACACCGGCCCACTTATTATAGAGGAACATCGTAGTCTGTTTTAAAGAAAGCATTTTAGCTTTATTTTAATTTAGTTTGTTGCAAAGATTTTACAGTTTGAAGAAATAGAAACTTACACCATATGCCAATCGTCACAAGGATGAAGGATGACAAGGAAGGGCTATATATACTGCATGCATGATATAGGTAGTTAATATTGTATTACTTCTTGAGCTCCTTGAGTTATGTATTGTCACAGGTAGGTGCTTCGGCCGCAGACTAAGTGTTGGGGCCGGTATGATTAAACGAAGGCACGTTGAAATTAGGACCGGCCCACCGGCCAAATGCCCGATATCACAGATTACCCGTCCGAGCCTGGACGGAAGTCAAAAACAAGTGGAGAGTTTCATCCTTTAACAGGCAGGCAGGGTTTCCACCAGCGTAATATAAGCTTGGGGGGCAGCAAGGATTTATTTACCACCAGCCCCCAATCCCGACTATCTTTGATTCTCCCTTCAAAGGAAAGGCCCTCAGATGTGCGTAATAAAGAAAAAAATAACATATATATAAATATAGTATATAAAAGTAATCAGAGGGCTGGTCAGTGGCACAGTGGGTAGCACTGCTGCCTTGGAGCAAGAAGGTTCTGGGTTTGATTCCCGACCTGGGGTCTTTCTGCATGCAGTTTGCATGTTCTCCCTGAGGATGCTTGGGTTCTCTCTGGGTACTCCGGCTTCCTCCCACAGTCCAAAAACATAACTGTTGTTGGACTGTGCACCTGCCGCTTCTCTATATTCTTCTTAGGTGCGAGTGTGCGCGTGAATGGTTGTTTGTCTCTGTGTTGCCCTGCAATGGACTGACGACCCATCCAGGATGTACCCTGCCTGTAGACAGCTGGAGATAGGCACCAGCACCCCTAGTGACCCCAGAATGGATAATCGTGGCAGACATAGATGGATGGATAAAACTGAACTTTATTAATCACACATTGGAGAAAATTACTTCTTCATTTAACCCATGCCCTTGGGGAGCATTGGGCTGCCATTGTGCGGCGCCCGGGGAGCAGTTTGGGGTTAAGGGTCTTGCACAAAGACCCAGAGTGGCAGTCTGTGGGATTGGCCACGACTCTGGTGGTGATCTGTAAAACTCAATTTGAATAGAATGCAATTCCTAAAATTCTATCTGAAAAACTGAAAAAATAAAATATGAAAAGAGGGCTGGTCAGTGGCACAGTGAAAAAAAAGTTAGTCTGAAAATCTTTTTTGTTAACTTAGACTTAGACTTCTTTATTTGTCATTTTGTATGCACAGAGTGCATACAGAACGAAATTGCGTTACATACAGCTTATGAACATTGCATTGATATTTCAAATGGCACGAGTTATACAAAAAGTGCAGCAGTGGTCAAAGTGTGAACAGTGCAGAGGATAAGAGACAGTGTGCAAGTTGCAGTGGTTCAGTGCAAATAGGCATTTGTGCAAAAAATGCGTAATTGAGAATAGAATATTAAGAAATGTTTGTCAGATTTCCAATTACAAAACATGTTCTTTGCTTCCAGTAATAATGAAACATTTACTCCATAGAAAACCTGCAGTCATCTGTTAATTATCAACCTGTTCAATTTGTCAGTAATTGTGGATAAAAGATTATTTCAGCGCTTCAGCTGGAAACATCAATTGTTCTATTTTATAGACCCTAAACATTTAATTTAACCGACTTTTTATTGAACATTTTCAGACCTGGCTTTGTTAATGACTCATAATCTAAGGTACTGAAGAAATGTTTTCTGTGTAAACATATTTGCTGTAGAGTAACTACATCAAATCAGTTTATTTATACAGCACTTTACAGCAACACCAGGAAGACCAAGGTGCTTCACAGAAAGATAAAAACATTGCAAAAAATAAAAAATAAAAAATCATAAGCATAACAACAACTAAGTACTAAAAGCGAGTTTAAAAAAAAGATCCTTTATTCTGGATTTAAAAAGATGCAGATCAGTGAGAATCCGCAGACCGAGGTGCAGATTGTTCCACAGTTTAGGTGCGGTAACCACAAAGGAACGATCGCCCAACTGTTCATACCGGGACCTGGGGACGTCCAGAACCATTTCATCAGCAGATCAGCCCTGCTAAATAAAGCGGTGCGAGACCATGAAGGGCTTTAAAAACAAGTGTTAAAACTTTGAAAGAAATCTGAAAATGGAGCGGGAGCCAGTGCAGGGAGGAGAGGATAGGAGTGATGTGGGTTTGCCTGGATGAGCCAGAGAGGAGACGAGCTGCTGCATTCTGTACTAACTGTAACCGTTGGAGTGACGACTGTGGGAGGCCACAGAAGAGAGCGTTGCAGTAGTCCAACAGAGAACTAATTAATGCGTGAATCACCTTCTCCAGGTCTTGGTGTGAGGGAAAGGGTTTCTGTGTTCTATGCTCTGCTGATTCTCTTCCACAAGTGGCTGTTGTGGACAGGTGGGCGTGGCCCAGCACCTGCAGCTCGTTGGGGCTGCTCTGCTGGAGCTTAAAAGGAGTTCAGTCAGCTGAAGGACGCCAGAGTGTTAGACCATTGTGGTACGCTTAGGCCACTGTCCAGTCGACAGTCACAGTTCCTGTGAGTTAATCGTTTCGGATTCCTAGTTCTAGCTCTGTCTCCTGTCTCGCTCAGTTCGTTGTGCTTTGGCTCTTTTACATTTCGTGTCTCTGTGCGCTGAGGACTGGTTCCTGAATCATTGATGTTCAGACTCTGCTCTGGAGTTCCCCTCAA